CTCTTCAAGGAGTGCATCTACCTCAGGTAAATGTTCAACTCATATGCCTGTCTTTTGTTTGGCTGGAAGCCACAGGAGTGGGTTCAATTCTGGATCTGAAGGGCAGCTAGGGGCCATAGTCTCAGGTTCCACCAGGCTCTATCAGAGCAGCAAACCTGGTCCTCTTTTTTTTCCAAATGATTTTGAGTTTTGTTCCACATTGTTTTCCCTCTCTATCCAGGATCTCCTGCATAGATCCCCACCGAGTGGTTGACAGTGGTAGCCGGGTACCATCTAGTTCTTCTGGTCTCATAGTCGTATAGGCTGAGGATCACATGGTGTACCAGTTGCTAGGACTAATTGTTTCCATGATCTTTAGTTTTCTTCATTCTTCTTCGCTCTGGATGAGGAGAGACCCATCGTTGCATCTAGATGGCAGCTTGCAAGCTTTTAAGATCCCAGTTGCTACTCGCCAAAGTAGGAGGTGAAACAATGTTTTGTGTAGTATATTATGCCCATTGAGCTTGATGTCGCCTGCGACTATGGTCTTGAGCCCACCGGTTCAACTACTCGGTCCCTCTGGGTAGCTGGCTGTTACAAAGAAGTGACCACAACCTTGTCCCTTGTCAGCTCTACAATACACCTGGGAATTCTTACAGAACATACAAATAAACTTGTAGAACCATTGTCTGCCAACTGTGTATATGGTCTTGTGTATACTCCCTGCTGCCTAGACATATGTAATAGTTCAGCCTGTCAACTCATCTATCCCCCCAAATACCCATGTTTGCCTTTACTGACAATGCAGTACTGTATGTGCAAAAGGGTTCATCTTTGTTGTCTGTTCCTCCCATCTCTCATGTCCCTCTCTATGTCTTCCTCTTCCTCAGTGCCACCATATTGATCACTCATATTTGGTACATTGCCCTTCTCTTCACCCAAATCAGTACTTAATCTCTACCTATCTAACAGTGCTCCCTCCTGTCCCCACCCACCCCTGGTAACCAGCAAATAAAATTTCTTTCCATATATAAACCTTTCCTTGAATTTTACAATAAGGGACTAATACAATATATTTCTCCTTTTGTGATTGACTCATATCACTCAGCATAATGTCCTCCAAGTTTTTCCACGTTATGCGGTGTTTTGCAGATTCTACGTTATTCTTTAGGATTGCGTAGTATTCCATTGTATGTATGTACCATAGTTTGGTTATCCATTCCTCAGTTGATGGACACATAGGTTGTTTCCATCTTTTGGCTATTGTAAATAGTTGTGTGATGAACATTGGTGTTCATATGTCCTTGTCATGGCTCTCACTTCTTTAGTATATATACGTAGTAATGGAATGGCTGGGTCAAATGGTATTTCTAATTCCAACTTCTTAAGGAATCACCATACTGCTTTCCACAGTGGTTGTACCATTTTACAGTCCCAGTAGCAGTATAGTAGAGTACCAGCCTCTCTGTATCCTTGCCAGCATTTGTTATTTTCTGCCTTGTTGAACTTTGCTACTAGTGCTAGAGCAAGATAGTATCTTGTTCTTT